GAAGCGCTGAAAACTACAACCAACCTAACAGCAGACTTGAATTATCTAACGTATCCTTCTTTCCTTTTATTGTTAGACTGTGGAACCAGTAACCTACTAGTATACGATGTAGCGCCACGTTCTCATCATTTAGAAACGCCATTCAAGACGTAAACTTGCCTCTTGTACCAAATCATTTTTTTTTTTTGATGATAGAAAGAAAAAAAAAATCATGCAAACTTAAGAAACCGTTCTTGCACTTTGAAAAGTGATATATTCCGTGTTGTTTTGAAAAATAACGATTAATACAGGGAAATAGAACAGACAATAAAACATTAAATCTATGTATAATAATTGTTTACTTTCCTTTCAATACGAAAACAAATTTGTTATTTCATACCCTTTTAAATGTTCAACGGCCCATGAGAGAAATTAAGTAGCTCTGCGTACGTATCCAAGAAGAATGGATTTGTTTTGTTTCATATTCCTCTTTAGATCACATGACTCAGAATAAAATCAGCAGTACTATTTAGGCTATATGTCTGCCAATTTACGTCAAACCGACAACATAAACACATGATTTAGAGAGTGTAGTATTAAGAGTGTGATCCTCTATTCAGGATCCGGATGTGTTGGTATCAACGACGCCCCGATAATGTTACCAAATATCCTCACATGAAACTGGCATGTCTGGTTGTCCACCTGTTAAAACGATCAAGCCTTCCTCATTGCGTAAGTTTCCTCATTATAGAAATGACGCGTTACCTGACATAGTATCACACCCCGGGCTACACAATGCTAGTAGACCATATAATAAGGTCCGTTAATACCTAACATTCAATTCAATTAGTTTATCAAAGTGACACCTGTACAGGGTACACTTATACAATTCCATACGTACATAAACACGAGTCGTCTCAACCAGTCTGGTACGAGACTTATGATGCCCTGTTATTCTTCCCTTAAACTAATTACCATAAAAAAAAAAGATAATTAAAATAAGATATGAATTACACAAGCTCACCCTTACCAGGCATGCATTTGATAAAAAAAAGAAAAACATTAGATAATTGTCTTGACTAGAACGAGAGCGATCGCGGCGAGCACTATTTAAAAATCGAACATTCCTAGACCAAGGCAAGAGAAATATAGACAAATTCCAATATAGAATGTAGCTATGGAACGAGATGACATGTATACTGAGTTTTATCTATACTGACCATTATATGATAAAAGCGATACACATGTATCACTATTTAACATGCTCATGCCTAATCTTAATGTTTTGAAATCCACACATAATTGATTATGAATTGATTATGTCATGAATACCTCAACTTGTCTTCCATTATTCAAAGGTAAAGAGGACTACGCAAATTCTATTTGACCTGTTGAAATTCAAATTTTAATGATAAATAGAAAGAATACAAGAGGTCTACTTTAAAATTGTTATACCTTTTAGTATAATGTGTGTGTATTTTGTTTTAACAGTTTATCAAGATTTAGATGTATTCATGAAATGTGTATGTATGATAGACCAGGTTCCTCCTACATGAACATACCTGGTCTTCTGTATCATAATCTATTATTATAGATATAACAATATGAAAAAGGAAAGCGAAATTGTCTAAACTATCATTAACAATAGAATCTTAGTTGATAGTATGGTATGCATAATTATGAGTTTCTAATTTACACAATTATTTTACCCTCAACTATCTACCTTTCTTTTGGTCTCATCATGTCTTTTGATTTTGATCAAGTAAATGTTTTCTAGCTCATTCACTTTTTGTTCCTATATCTCCCTATTAGATGTCCACTCAAATTTAAGTTCCTTGGCGAAAACATGTTACAATCCAAATGTACTTCTACTATGTCCCCTTAAATAATCTCATTTTGAAGGGGCTATTTCTTAGTTAAGTTTGTTTTTATGCCTTACCAAAATTGGTTGTACTACTACTGTGTCCGTGCCTTGCTTGACATTTTTTTAATTTGACGTTTATGGACTTTTGAAAGGTAAACAAATAAAAGGTTAAATCCATGAAAGGGATCTTGTTTTAAAAACATTTCAGAAGGTGATATACTATCTAAAAAAACAACAACTAAAAAAACCTAGTCAAATGAGTAATTATAAAGAATGCTTTTCATGTTTGAATTTAAAGTGAAAAATAGGGGTCCTATGAAGGTGGTTTTAACTTAACTTAATTATCTCCGCGCCTGAAGGCGCATACGGCATCAACGCTGATGAAGGTGGTATTGCCTATAGAAACAATCTCAATCTTCGATTGTTGGAACCACTAACAATAGGGAAAACATATTTATCATGAAATGTAATTTAGGATCTTGTAACACAAACAAACACACACCGCCCGCCTACCTACTGAAAATCTAGAAACTTGTGGTACCCTTACAAGCGCATCGCATTTCTATAAATCAATAAATGATAAGTTATAAAATATATATAAACACTTCATCTGAAAATAGAATATATGTTTATTTGTCGTCATACGTTAACCATTTACATAATTAATATATTATGTATATTAATGTATATATTTATAACGACAGCAGTGGTCCTTGATTGATCCTAAATTTTAGACAACAATACTCGATCTCGACATTGTATATTGCCCGAGATCTATGCCAGGTCTGGGTCTGAACTCTGGAAGTGATTTTGATCATAGTCTTGATTATAGAGCTATAACTGTTCCCTTGGTTTAAGTCAATCATAACCCCTTGATTCAAGAACCCATATCACTGCACGACGGTGGTTTATTTGTGCCATGCAGTAACTTTAAATTCTACGAAAAAATTAAATTAAGGTGGTTAATTATCCTATTTCGGGGCGAAAATACGAAACAACGAGAGTGCAGATTTGTTTATTCTCGTCTTTTTTTAGTCACAAATGATACAACTCAGCCACCGTACTTCGATGATGGGTGACACCAGAGGCAGTTAAAAATACCAGTTATAGTTTTTCACGATGGAATTGTCCACAAAATAGAGAATGATAATATTCATAGTGAAACAAATAAGGTAACGTCTATTTGAAGTTTTTCCATATGACCTACTTTTATAATAGTTATCAATGGCGAAGGTTTTGATGACATTAAATACATGCTACAGTACCCAGCCTTTTATAAATATACCACTTATCGACCAAAAGAGTAGGCCCTTAAGGAGATGATATCTCTACTTATCTTTAAAACACCATCTTTGGACAAATATCTACTCATTCATATATTGTAAGCCTATGTATTGATTTAGAATAGTAATTCATATTACCTACCCTCGCTGATCATAGTTTGTGAGCAGTGAATTAATTTATGAATTGAAGTGACGGTAACGGTTTCCGGAGCTAGAGCAGTCTCCGGTCGCACATTTTGCTATTTTGATATCTTATTTACTGTCACTGAACTTCACAATTGATAATATTTCTGTAAGCACATATTACAAGATATTATATGATAGCACGGAAATGACATCGCTAAGTTTTGCATTGTTTTTCCTGATCCCATTGCTGAAATATGGCATTATAATAGGTTCAAACTAAACAGCAGAACACTGACGAGTTGCGGTGAGTTGCCATTCAAAATATTACGCAGATTTGGTTTAACAATATCTATTTCATATATCACCTATAATAAGTACACAGGTGAACGAAGTCTTGTATGAAGTACGATGACCAGCATGCTAATATGGTGGTTTACTAATACGCTCTCTGTCAAGGTAATTTGTGAAAGTATACAGAGATGGAGAAATTCTTATATTATTAGGTATGGCATTCCTAATGGCAGTGGTTAAGAAAGAAGTCATATAAACATTATTTCTACTTGCTGGTGGATGTATATTCAAATTAGTTCTTAAGTTGTGACCTCGGACAGCTCCTATCACAGGAGGAAGCACATTCTGCATATTTTGTACCAAGTTTCATTCTATGCTTGCATCGCCTATGCGACAATGTTTCCCATCCTGTTTCTAATATAATTGAGTTAGACGATGCAGATTTTGTTGTCCAGTCACAATTCTGCCTGCCTCAATATGAAGTTTTTCAAGTTCTTGACAATCTTGTTGGGTACAATTACCCCAAATTATGTCGGCATATTCCAAGATACACATATGAAAAATGTATATGTACAAATGAAAAATACATAATTTCTGAAGATTTTCGATCCAGCTTAAATCTTAAACATCTAAGAATGCCTAGCCTTTTCCATGCTTTGGCAAAGATATTAGTGATGTGAACATGCCAAGAACAGTTTTCATAAATAGTTACACCCAGATGTGTGTTGCTGAACTTGCTGAATTCGAGTATCATTGATAAATAGGGGAGGATGAGCTGTTGTCGTTCTCTTTCTTGTAAGGACCATACTTTCAGTTTTATTGCGGTTGAAATAATAGTATGTATAAAAAAAAACAATAGTCCCCTCGGCTAAAGACTGTCTTTAGCCGAGGGGACTATTGTGTTGTTTTTTTTAATATAATAGCTTTTATTTTCATTTATAATCAGTTCTATCTTCTTGTAATATGATGTATATGTACATGTAACTGTTCTGCTTCACTGTGTCTTGATAAAGGAGCGGATCGCTCCGAAAATTTGACAACTTAAACTTGTGCACACTGTTGGAATTACTTCTTTGCCCCATATACTATTTTAAATAATTTGTATCCTACGGACATACCTCCATTAGGATCCAGTGTTATATGGGATTTTACCGTCTATATTACATCTTTGACCCATACGAATATATATATATATATTAACGCTATGCAGTCCAACAAACACAATAAAGGCATGTTTTTTTCAAGATTGACGGCGCCTTTCACCCAAAGAAGAAGAGAAAATTAAGGAGATCACTATCAGTAGAAATAAATACACATTTGTACCACATAACACATGTACCTACATAAGTATACATGATAAACAATAATAGTGCAGTCCCGAACTAACGGAATGCCTGACCCGTTTATAACTGAGCTGACAGGCGGACTGACCACGGGCTACTGTCCTACCCGGAAGTCACGGTCCAGTGGCGTGGCTGACTGCAGGCTATAACATCTGCTCTCTAACAGAAACGGATCATTTCGCAGGAAATCAACGGCCAAAGGAACACGTTAAGCCAAAAGGTGAGACTTCCCAACATCTTATATACATGTATTACATAGTTCCCATGCTCTATATAATTTATTTTGGTGAGAAAATATGCAAGAATATTTGTATTATATCATTGTATGTGAAATATATATTAATCTTATAAAAGTGATATATTTCACTAATTTAATAATATAAAATATAATGTTTATATTGTACTGTAAAATATCGGTATTTTACTGAAGGCATACTTGTGAGATATGACTGTATTTAACGAGATTTCATTCATTATCTGAAAAGAACATACTATATGTAAAAAAGAGATATAATGCTCTGTTTCATCAGTATCGTTGTCAAACCATACTGCCAAACCTGTACCGTTGTCAATCCATACTGCCAAACCTGTATCATTGTCAAACCATACTGTCAAACCAGTATCGTTGTCAAACCTTACTATCATCCTGTATCGTTGTCAAAACATACTGTCAAACCAGTATCGTTGTCAAACCATACTATCAAACCAGTATCATTGTCAAACCATATTTTCAAACCTGTATCGTTGTTATACCATATTGTCATACCAGTATCATTGTCAAACCATACTGTCAAACTAGTATCATTGTCAAACCATATTGTCAACCCAGTATCGTTGTCAAACCATACTGTCAAACCAGAATCATTGTCAAACCATATTGTCAAACCAGGATCGTTGTCAAACCATACTGTCAAACCTGTATCGTTGTCATACCATACTGTCAAACCAGTATCATTGTCAAAACATATTGTCAAACCTGTATCGTTGTTATACCATATTGTCATACCAGTATCATTGTCAAACCATACTGTCAAACCAGAATCATTGTCAAACCATATTGTCAAACCAGTATCGTTGTCAAACCATACTATCAAACCAGTATCATTGTCAAACCATATTGTCAAACCTGTATCGTTGTTATACCATACTGTCAAACATGTATCGTTGTCAAACGATACTGTCAAACCTGTATCGTTGTCAAACCATACTGTCAAACCAGTATCGTTGTCAAACCTTACTCTCATCCTGTATCGTTGTCAAACCATACTGTCAAACCAGTATCGTTGTCAAACCATACTGTCAAACCTGTATCGTTGTCAAACCATACTGTCAAACCTGTATCATTGTCAAACCATACCGCAAAACCTGTATCGTTGTCAAACCATACTGCAAAACCAGTATCATTGTCAAACCATACTGCCAAACCTGTACCATTGTCAAACCATACTGCAAAACCTGTATCGTTGTCAAACCATACTGCAAAACCTGTATCGTTGTCAAACTATAGTGCCAAACCTGTATCATTGTCAAACCATACTGCCAAACCTGTATCGTTGTCAAACCATACTGCCAAACCTGTATTATTGTCAAACCATACTGTCAAACCTGTATCATTGTCAAACCATACCGCAAAACCAGTACCGTTGTCAAACTATAGTGCCAAGCCAGTATCATTGTCAAACCATACTGCCAAATCAATTTCATTGTCAAACCATACTGCCAAACCTGTATCGTTGTCAAACCATACTGCAAAACCATTATCATTGCTAGAAATAATGCCAGTGACTTAAATTATGACAAATTTGCTGACCATCTATCTCCTGATTCTTCCTGTTCATGCGGCCATCCAATTGAAAATTCTGAACATTTCTTCTTCTCTTCTTCTCTTGTCCAAATTACTCTAATTCTCTATACCAGAGTTGGCCATATAAATGTTCATCATTTGACATCTGGAATTACTGACTTACCTCCTGAAATAAATATATTGATATTGTCTAATGTTGAAAAGTACATTATTGCATCTAAACGGTTAGGATGATGTAACTAAATGTTTAAATATTATCAAACCATTATATATGCTCTTCTGCATGTACATATAATTAAATGAATTATTTTCTGAATTTAACCTAGCTCCAACATAATTGTTGCTAGTTGCTAGTCAATTTAGATAATATTATTATATAGTGAATGAGTATTGACATGAGCGTGTAAAGAGTGTAAGTTGGCAATTGAGTGTAATACAATAATATAAATAGCTTATTAATCACATATATATATATAATGTCATACTTACACCATCACGGAGAAGATTGATATAGTCCTAGCCTGTTATCTTATCCATTTATATATGCTAATTTATATATAATAAATATTTGTTAATTAATACAAGAGGCCCAGAGGGCCTGTATCGCTCACCTGAATATATTTAAAATAATTTGTATGAAGTAAAGATATAGCACTCCATGGTAGGTGCTGTAAGTACATATGAAATTTCAGAAAGATCCATCCAGTACTTGAGATATAGCGAGAACAAACTTCAAACAGAGCCCCACCCCTATGCCCCTGGGAGACCACACCCACTGCTTATACATAATTGAGTCCCCTTTTACCAAAGGATGCTCCAGACTAAATAAGGATAATATTCCTTAAACCCTATGGTAGAAGAAGGATTATAAAGGTTTAACCTCTATTTCCCCTATTGGGACCCGCCCCTCAGGTCCCAGGGGGGCCACACCCACCGCTTATTCAAATTTCGTTCCCCTTTACCAAAGGATGCTCCACACCAATTATGGACAAAATCTTTTCATTCCTACAAAGAAGTAGGGTTTTAAAGAATAATTTGCTATGTTTCCCCTATTGGGCCCCACCCCTAATTCTCATGGGGGGCAAGACCCACGGTTTATACAAAATGTGTTCCCTTTCACCCAAGGAAGCTTCAGACCAACTATGGACAAATCCTTTTCTTCCTACAGAAGAAGGATTTTAAAGAATTGTTATATTTCCCCTATTGGGCCCCTAAATATGCTGTCATATAGCCTAATATTCATTTGACCATTTGACACTGTATATGTCGAGTGTCCCGTTTTAGTGCTTAAACACCGCGACACTGTATATACTGCCAACCAGTATCACTGTTACACCGTACTGCCACCCCAGTATCACTGCCACACCGTACTGCCACCCAGTATCACTGTCACGCCGTTCTGCCACCCCAGTATCACCGTGACACCGTACTGCCACCCCTGTATCACTGGCACACCGGACTGCCACTGCCAAACCTGTATTAGTGTCAAACCATACTGTCAAACCTGTATCATGGTCAAACCATACCGCAAAACCTGTATCGTTGTCAAACCATACTGTCAAACCTGAATCATTGTCAAACCATATTGTCAAACCTGTATCGTTGTTATACCATACTGTCAAACCAGTATCATTGTCAAACCATATTGTCAAACCTGTATCGTTGTTATACCATACTGTCAAACCAGTATCATTGTCAAACCATATTGTCAAACCTGTATCGTTGTCAAACCATACTGCCAAACCAGTATCGTTGTCAAACCATACTGCCAAACCAGTATCGTTGTCAAACCTTACTCGCATCCTGTATCGTTGTCAAACCATACTGTCAAACCAGTATCATTGTCAAACCATATTGTCAAACCTGTATCGTTGTCAAACCATACGGTCAAACCAGTATCGTTGTCAAACCATACTGTCAAACCTGAATCATTGTCAAACCATATTGTCAAACCTGTATCGTTGTCAAACCATACTGTCAAACCTGAATCATTGTCAAACCATACCGCAAAACCTGTATCGTTGTCAAACCATACGGTCAAACCAGTATCGTTGTCAAACTTTACTCTCATCCTGTATCGTTGGCAAACCATACTGTCAAACCAGTATCGTTGTCAAACCTGACTCTCATCCTGTATCGTTGGCAAACCATACTGTCAAACCTGTATCGTTGTCAAACCATACTGCCAAACCAGTATCACTGGCAAACCGTACTGCCCCCCCAGTATCACTGCACACCGTACTCCCAAACCAGTATCACTGCCACACCGTACTGCCACCACAGTATCACTGTCACACCCTACTGCCCCCCCAGTATCACTGTCACACCGTACTCCCAAACCAGTATCACTGTTACACCGTACTGCCATCCCAGTATCACTGTCACACCGTACTGCCACCCCAGTATCACTGTCACACCGTACTCCCAAACCAGTAGGTAGCAGTATACAGTAGAAATGGCCCGACTCTGATAAACAAGGCACTTGCGAGGAAATGTAAACACAGCGGATTTACCCTACACAACACATGTATACATGTATATATATTTGTAAACTGCATTACATATAAAATACTGAGAAGTGTATAAACCTCTTTTTTCTATGTATGTCACTTGTGTGAAAACCATGGTTACCACATCAAAAATTACCAAAAAATGCCAAAAATTGCTTTTTTTGACCCAAAATTTGACCCCCGCAACTAGTTATTTTTTTCCTAAGTTCTGTCTGAAATTAACGATTACCTACTTAGTTGCAGAATTATCTGGGTCCCAGTAAAGTTGTCAAACTTGATTTTTTGCAATTTTGCGTCGTGTGTTGTTGTCAAAAATTTACCTCCTGTAAAGCTAGCTTTTCATGTGTAGGCACCCTTTCGGATTATGGCAAAAAAATTGATCTCGAACAAAAAAACGTTGGTTTTTTTTTTACAAATGTGAAGCTCACATAGCCCACTTTATCATGCTTATACCAATTTTAGTACAGTTTAATTTTTACATGTTTTTTTACATATCATTATACAGGGCTAAGCCATTTAACCAAACTATCACCCATGGCCACAACCTTCTACTGTATTCTGCTACCAGTATCACTGTAACACCGTACTGCAACCCAAGTATTACTGTTACACCGTACTACCACCCCAGTATTACTGTTACACCGTACTGCCACCCCAGTATCACTGTGACACCGTACTGCCACCCCAGTATCACTGTGACACCGTACTCCCAAACCAGTATCACTGTTACACCGTACTGCCATCCTAGTATCACTAGTACACCGTACTGCCAAACCAGTATCACTGTTACAACGTACTCCCAAACCAGTATTACTGTTACACCGTACTGCCAAACCAGTATCACTGTTACAACGTACTGCCAAACCAGTATCACTGTTACAACGTACTGCCAAACCAGTATCACTGTTACACCGTACTGCCACCTCAGTATTACTGTTACAACGTACTCCCAAAACCAGTATCACTGTTACAACGTACTCCCAAACCAGTATCACTGTTACAACGTACTGCCATCCCAGTATCACTGTTACGCCGTACTCCCAAACCAGTATCACTGTCACGCCGTACTCCCAAACCAGTATCACTGTTACGCCTTACTGCCACCCCAGTATCACTGTTACACCGTACTGCCACCCCAGTATCACTGTTACAACGTACTGCCATCCCAGTATCACTGTTACGCCGTACTCCCAAACCAGTATCACTGGCACACCGTACTCCCAAACCAGTATCACTGTTACGCCTTACTGCCACCCCAGTATCACTGTTACACCGTACACCCACCCCAGTATCACTGGCACACCGTACTCCCAAACCAGTATCACTGGCACACCGTACTGCCACCCCAGTATCACTGGCACACCGTACTCCCAAACCAGTATCCCTGTTACGCCTTACTGCCACCCCAGTATCACTGTTACACCGTACTCCCACACCAGTATCACTGTTACACCGTACTCCCAACCCAGTATCACTGTTACACCGTACTCCCAACCCAGTATCACTGTTACACCGTACTGCCAACCCAGTATCACTGTTACAACGTACTGCCACCCCAGGATCACTGTTACAACGTACTCCCAAACCAGTATCACTGTTACACCATACTCCCAAACCAGTATCACTGTTACACCGTACTCCCAAACCAGTATCACTGTTACACCGTACTGCCACCTCAGTATCACTGTTACACCCTACTGCCAACCCAGTATCACTGTTACACCGTACTGCCACCCCAGTATCACTGTTACAACGTACTCCCAAACCAGTACCAACTCCAGGCTGTTAGTTGTGATATTTATAGTCTATATAATAACTGTGTGTGTTTTATTTCGATGCTTACTACCACACCATTTTTTTATTCAGTTTTCATGGATATAATAGACTTTACATGTTGTCCAATCCATTTTATATGCAAGATCTAATCAATTAAATATTATGAAATTCTGAGGCATTACCGTCTCCTGTTTCATTTATCAGTATTTCGGAATGATTATTTTTGTGTTTATTTGTAGTTTAAAAGCTGGGAAGCAATCGGTTAAGAATAATGTTATGAAATTTTTCGTATCTAAAGAAGCATCGATAGACTTAGTGTATAGGATATTTATTTAGTCAAAGATATGTAATTACTTGTTAGGTCATTCGACTTTCACGAAATGCAGAGTTACCAGTGAGCACCTATCGGTACAGACTTAAAGAGTCGGAAATGTGTCACGCCGTCAATGCTTTTATGATGTCTCTAAGTTTGTTTCCAAAGGTCACCAGGAACAGTTTCATTTTAATCATTTTATAATTTCCCAAATATGACGAGAGAGGACGCGACTGCGGTTTAAGTTGAACACGGTGGACTCCCAATTGTTTCCTTAGAGTTAATTACTTCAAAACGTATACATTAATAGCAGCATTATAATAATAAATAACACACTATGGTACGTTCAGACTTATAAACATATTGTCAGTGATAAACACGTATTAATTATTAATCTGTTGTTTTTTGTAGAGGAAGCATGTTGGTAAAAGTGTGGTTTGGCCTTTCGGTCACGCTCCTGATGGGGCTTATCTGGGTGGCGGGCCAGGGTCCAACTGATCCACTGGAAGTACAGATACAGGTAAGCCATCATAAAGACAAGTTAATGATCAAATAAAACACACCGAAAGAAGAACTTAATAGTATATACAAAAGTGCCAAGATAAAAAAATAAGCCACATTGCCAACACATAAGCACACTGTATCTCAGCGTCAACACGCAAGAACAAAATAAAGCTCAGCGTCAACACACAAGCTCACACGGTATATTAGCGTCAAAACACAAGCTCACACGGTATAGCAGCGTCAACACACAAGCTCACACGGTATATCAGCGTCAACACACAAGCTCACAATATATCTCAGCGTCAACACACAAGCTCACACGGTATATCAGTGTCAACACATAAGCACAAAATATATTTCAGCGTCAACACACAAGCTCACACGGTATCTCAGCGTCAACACACAAGCTCACACGTTATATCAGCGTCAACACACAAGTACAGAATAAAGCTCAGGGTTTGGTTTGGTTGAGTATTGTTTAACGTCCTATCAACAGCTTTGGTCATTTAAGGACGGTCTCCCCTGTGTGCAAGATGCATGCGTGTGTGTTTTTTGAGTCTGCGATATGTTCGTGTTTGACTCCTTGTGATAGCGCGGAACTGATGCCGACTTTATAGTGCTACCTCATTGAAACATACTGCCAAAGACACCCAGCAGGACACCCCACTCGGTCACATTATACTGACAACGGGCGAACCAGTTGTCCCACTCCTTAATTACTGAGCGTTAAGCATGAGTAGAAACTACCATTTAAATAGACTCTGGTATGTCTCGGCCAGGGGTCGTTTTCAAGGGAGACATTAGGAAGAAGAAAGCTGTTTAGAAAGAAGAGAAAAGATAAGATCCCGAAATTAGTCGCCTCTTACGATCATGCAGCAGGTACAATTCTTACGCACTACCTGCAGGGACTTAAAGCTCAGCGTCAACACACAAATACACAATGTATCCAAGCGTCAACACACAAGTACACAAGGTATCTCAGCGTGAACACACAAGTACACAATGTATCCCAGCGTCAACACACAATTACACAATGTATCTCAGCGTGAACACACAATAACACACGGTATATCAGCGTCAATACACAAGTACACAATATATCTCAGCGTCAACACAAGCACAAAATAAAGCTCAGCGTCAACATACAAGTACACAATGTATCCCCGCGTCAACACACAAGTACACAAGGTATCTCAGCGTCAACATACAATTACAAAATAAAGCTCAGCGTCAACACACAATTACACACGGTATATCAGCGTCAATACACAAGTACACAATGTATCTCAGCGTCAACACACAGTTACACACGGTATATCAGCGTCAACACACACGCACACAATGTATATCAGCGTCAAGACACAAGCAAACAAGGTATCTCAGCGTCAACACACAAGCACACAATGTATCTCAGCGTCAACACACAAGCAAACAAGGTATCGCAGCGTCAACACACAAGTACACAATGTATCTAAGCGTCAACATACAAGTACACAATGTATCTTAGCGTCAATACACAAGTACACAAGGTATCTCAGCGTCAACACACAAGTACACAATGTATCTCAGCGTCAACATACAAGTACACAATGTATCTCAGCGTCAATACACAAGTACACAAGGTATCTCAGCGTCAACACACAAGCAAACAAGGTATCTCAGCGTCAACACACATTTACACACGGCATATCAGCGTAAACACACACGCACACAATGTATATCAGCGTCAAGACGCAAGCAAACAAGGTATCTCAGCGTCAACACACATTTACACACGGGATATCAGCGTCAACACACACGCACACAATGTATCTCAGAGTCAACACACAAGCAAACAAGGTATCTCAGCGTCAACACACAACCAAACAAGGTATCTCAGCGTCAACACACAGTTACACACGGTATATCAGCGTCAACACACACGCACACAATGTATATCAGCGTCAAGACACAAGCAAACAAGGTATCTCAGCGTCAACACACAAGCGAACAAGGTATATCAGCGTCAACACACATTTACACACGGTATATCAGCGTAAACACACACGCACACAATGTATCTCAGCGTCAACACACAAGCAAACAAGATATCGCAGCGTCAACACACAAGCACAAAATAAAGCTCAGCGTCAACACACAATTACACACGGTATACCAGCGTCAACACACAAGCTCACACGGTATATCAGCGTCAACACACACGCACGCAATGTATCTCAGCGTCAACACACAATTACACACGGAATACCAGCGTCAACACACAAGCCGTCAACACACAATCTCACACGGTATATCAGCGTCAATACACAATTACACAATGAATCTCAGCGTCAACACACAGTTACGCACGGTATATCAGCGTCAATACACAATTACTCAATGAATCTCAACGTCAACACACAAGCACACAATGTATCTCAGCGTCAACACCCAGTTACACACGGTATATCAGCTTCAACACACACGCACACAATGTATATCAGCGTCAAGACACAAGCAAACAAGGTATCTCAGCGTCAACACACACGCAAACAAGATATCGCAGCGTCAACACACAAGCACAAAATAAAGCTCAGCGTCAACACATAATTACACACGGTATATCAGCGTTAACACACAATCACACACGGTATATCAGCGTCAATACACAATTACACAATGAATCTCAGCGTCAACACACAAGCACAAAATAAATCTCAGTGCAGAGAACGTAAGTGAGCATAACCCTGTATTATTGAGGCTGATACTTATTCGATTGATTTGATAAGATAGATCCAATGTTACTATTATAGCATGACAATATTGTTTCCACTATTGCTGAAAATGTCTTTGATATATTTCGTAAATAGCTATACTAGAAATACATTAGACCAGTATACTGGAATGCGATGTATTGCGATGGAACAATGCGATAAGGCTACTGTTATTAAACATTCACTCTTCATTGCTTCACACCAAACCCTAAACTCTGATTTAGTATGAAAATGAATGTAATGTTTTCATGAAAGAACAATGTTAACTATATTTTCACCATTTTGTAACTAGTTAAAATGTAAAAATATATTGGTTTTAAATTCATGATTCCCCGCCCTATAGTGACCCGCTAATAACTGTTTCCATTGCAGGCGACACAAGTCCGTAACTATCAGCTTGTCATCGAGCAACAGAGACGTCTATCTGGCTGGCGCCAATATTACGTCAATCGGCTGCCTTACCAATTCCTGATACCAATCTACTGTAAGTATACTGTGTATGCTGTAAAACGGAACAGAATACTGTTTTATGCTTATATTTACATTTTTCATTTTTTTGAAATTTCCATTTCTAAGTTCACAAGAGGTAGAAAATTCCATGGAATTGCTCACGGAATGTTAACAAATATAGTTTGTGGAAATAAACAAAAAATATTGATACTATTTCCATAATTTAATCAATCAATAAATTCAATTCACAATTTATAGTAGTCTTACATAAAAAGGTGAATATTATTGAATCATAGTGAGAGTTTTTGCTTATCCGCTTGCTAGTGCGGAGGGGCATAGCTACATGTATCCGGTAGTTAGTTGGTCCCGAGGAGATATCACTACGCCTGTTGTATGGTCTCATAACACGGATCATCAGGTCTTGATAGTGTAATATAGGGGTAATGCAGAGTAAATGTAAATGTACTGTAAGTGAATCACGTTATAAACAAAGTTACCAAGTAATTAAATACCATGCAGTAAGTAATACTTATATACTGTAATTGTGTCACATGAAAACTAAGTTACCCAGTAATTACATACAAATATTTAATACCAGTATATTGTAAGTGTACTACGTTGTAAATTAAGTTACTCAGTAATTACATACCAGTAATTAGTACCAATATACCGTAGTGAGTCACGTTGTAAATTAAGTTACTTAGTAATAACATACCAGTAATTAATACCAATATACCGTAGTGAATCACATTGTAAATTAAGTTACTTAGTAATTACATACCAGTAATTAATACCAATATACTGTAATGAGTCACATTGTAAATTAAGTTACTTAGTAATTACATACCAGTAATTAATACCAATATACCGTAGTGAATCACATTGTAAATTAAGTTACTTAGTAATTACAGACCAGTAATTAATACCAATATACCGTAGTGAGTCACGTTGTAAATTAAGTTACTTAGTAATTACATACCAGTAATTAATACCAATATACCGTAATGAGTCACGTTGTAAATTAAGTTATTTAGTAATTACATACCAGTAATTAATACTATTATATCGCAGTGAGTCACGTTGTAAACAAAGAAGTTACCAATTAATTACAGACCAGTAAGTAATACCAGTATACCGTAGTGAGTCACGTTGTAAATTAAGTTACTAAGTAATTTCATACTAGTAATTAATACCAATATGCCGTAGTGAGTCACGTTGTAAATTAAGTTACTTAGTAATTACATACCAGTAATTAATACTAATATACCGTGATGAGTCATGTTGTAAACAAAGAGGTTACCAATTAATTACAGACCAGTAAGTAATACCAGTATACCGTAGTGAGTCACGTTGTAAATTAAGTACCTTAGTAATTACAGACCAGTAAGTAATACCAGTATACCGTAATGAGTCACGTTGTAAACAAAGAGGTTACCAATTAATTACAGACCAGTAAGTAATACCAGTATACCGTAATGAGTCACGTTGTAAATTAAGTTACTTAGTAATTACATACCAGTAATTAATACTAATATACCGCAGTGAGTCACGTTTTAAACAAAGAAGTTACCAATTAATTACAGACCAGTAAGTAATACCAGTATACCGTAATGAGTCACGTTGTAAATTAAGTTACTTAGTAATTACAGACCAGTAAGTAATACTAGTATACTGGAAGCACTTGTAAACTCGTTTGGTGGTCCTTTATTGTCCTATGGTCCTACTTTGTACATACATGTACTAAGTACTATAGTTCATCGTTGTGTCAAACAGCGCGTTTTGGTTACGACATATATTAACAAGATAAAATTGATTGGACATATAAACAAATTAATACTACGGGGGGGGGGGGGGGGACCTCATACCAGTAATATTTGTCCTCGGAGGTCTCTTGTTCTTTAAACATTTGTTACATCTTGATTTGAGGAAACCAATTCATAACAAGTACCAATTGTAATTGGGGACCATTACAGATGTCCCCCAAACTGCCCCCATAGTCGCAAAGATGCATCACAAAAGGTTCGCAAAGCCTTAATACAACTACAATATACGTACAAAATTTAAGTGAAATCAAATAATTTCTCAATTGCGACAAATCAGAAGCCTAAGTGTAGTTGCTATATACCAATTTTCATTTTTTTTTATTTTTTTTTATTAATTTCGACCAATTAGAGGCCAGGAATTGGCAGCCATTTTGTTTAATCACAAAACACTGCAGTTGTATTCATATTGCCTTGCTACACCTATGCACCAAATTTCACCCAAATCTGACAGTATTTAAATTTTGACCAATCAGTGGAAAAAAACGGCGGCCATTTTGTTGAAATGTGAAATCTAAGCAACGGAAGTGATCATTGTCATATGATACACCTACAAACTAAATTTGATCAAAATTGGACAATATTTAAATTTCGACCAATCAGAGGCCAGAAAAAGGGGGCCGAGTGATCAAATTTGATCAAAATTGAACAATATTTAAATTTCGACAATCAGAGGACAGGAAATGGGGGCCGAGCGATCGTTGTTATGTAGAAAGGAAACATTCCATTAACGTGGAACTAGACCCGGAAAACTATCCTGCCACAAGTTAATTTAATTCTATTTTTTTACATTTAAAACATTGTTTGAAATAATAAGATTTTTTTGGGGAAAAATGTGTTTTTCTATAATATTCAATAATATGTTTTATCATGATTCTCCTACATACCAAATTTGATCTAAATCGGACAATATTTAAATTTCGACCAAGAAGAGGTATCTGTATCTGTATCTGAAAGGTTCCGGAAAAAAATCATCAATTGAAAATCACATCCGGGGAGGAGGAGTGGAGTAAAAGTTAGTTTTTGAGGCTACTACGGTATTGGTCGACCGTAGTTGCGCTGATGGAGGATTCTTTTAGAGCGTTCCAATCGGTTAGTGTACGTGGGAAGAAGGGTTGTCTGTAGTTCTCAGTGTTGCACGATATCTGTTGTAGTTTCTGACTGTTGTTTCGTCGTGTGCTGGTACGGCTGGCTGTGATGGCTACTAGCCCATTGATGATCTTAAACAACAGTACTAGTCTGTGTTCACGACGTCTGTCTTTCAGTGGTTCGAGTTCTAGTCTGTTTAGCATGGATGTTACACTGCTTTCTCTTTGGTAATCTGACAGAATGAATCTTGCTGCACGCCTTTGTACTTTCTCTATGGTACATATGTCCTTGTCCGTGTGAGGGTCCCAGATGGTGGAACTATACTCCAATACAGATCGAATGAGGGACTTGAACGCACACAATTTCAGATCCGTCTGACATTTCTTCAGATTTCTCCGAAGGAATCCCAGTGTGGAGTTGGCACGGTTGGAAAGTTTGGTGATTTGTGATGACCATTTCATGGTGTTGCTGAAGATGATGCCGAGGTATGGGTTGTCAGTTACCTCTTCTAGTATGGTATCACCGAGAGTGTCGCGAACGGCTGATGGGGATTTTGAGCAATGGATCCTTATGATGTAACATTTGCTGGTGTTAAAGGACATGTCCCACGCTTATGCCCATCGTTCCAATGATTTTAAAGCTTCTTGAAAGTCTAAGTGATCCTTGACAGTTCTTATCGTCCTATAAAGGAGACAGTCGTCTGCAAATAACCTGACGGTGGATTTCACTGCTAGTGGAAAGTCATTGATGTGGCAGAGGAAGAGGAGTGGTCCGAGTACTGTCCCTTGGGGGACTCCGGACTCAACTTGCACTGATGCTGAATGTTCACCCTCCACTACTACGCGTTGGGTTCTGTCCTGCAGGAATGATGAAACCCAGCGAATGATGTCGGGATGAATGCCATAGTTGTCAAGTTTATACAAAATGTGTCGGTGCGGTACCGTATCAAAGGCTTTACTGAAGTCTAAAATAGCCATGTCAATTTGTTTCTTTTTGTCGAATCGGGAAAGAAGGTCCTGGGTTGTGACAAGGAGTTGGGTTTCACAAGAATGTTTTGTTCGAAATCCGTGTTGTACTTCCGTCAGAATGTTGTTATTTTCTAAGTGCATGAGGAGGTGTTTACAAATGTCGTGTTCGAGAAGTTTTGAACAGACGCAGGTAAGTGAGACAGGACGGTAACTGCTGGCAAAGTGGCGGTTAACCTTTTCGTAGATTGGCGTGATGTTAGCCTATTCCCAGTCTGATGGTTTGCAACCAGTGCGGAGTGATTTGTCGAATATGACGGATAAGCCTGGTGCTAGTTCACTACAACACTCTTTCAAAACTCGGTTAGGTATTCCATCTGGGCCACTTTGGGGGGGGGGGGGGGGGGGNTCGTTCTTATCCTTTGTGAACACAGAGTTACATCCGCTGTCAGTTTGTAGCCTTGTGCCATCTTTGATTGGGGCAACACCGATGTTATCTTGTTTTTTTAATTTTATATAGGTCCAAAAAGGCTTACTGTTCTTTTCTACGACGCTAGCCTCTAGTACGTGGTTGATATGGTCCCACTCTGCTTTCCTTAAGGGTGTCTGAGTCTCATGATTATGCCGCTTGTACTTGGCCCAGTCTTCTGTTTTCTTTGTTTTGCATGCTTTGCGGTATAGTCGGTGTTTTTTCCTAATAACTCTGCATCGTGTCCTTTTTAGCCATGGGAGATTGTGTCTGCTAGATGTTAGACGAGATGGTATAAGGTCGTTGACAATTTTGTTGACAACGTCCGTGAAAGTTTGCCAGAGATTGTTAACGTCCTCGTTGGGGTCTTGCATAATGCTAGCACTGACCAATTTTGCTGCATCCTTAATTTCTTGCCAGTCGACATTCCGATATAGTTGGACTTTCCTGGGCTTGGGCTTGGTTTAATGTCACCATCCACTTCTGCCATGTCATGGAATGGTCTGGGAGTACTTCACAAGTGTGGGATTATTTGTGAGGTACAAGTCCAAAACATTTCCATTTCGTGTCGGCTTGTCCTGGGTGATTGTCAATGAGTGGTTGTTCATGACGTCGAGAAATTCCTGATGAAATGCTACATTGCTTATGCCACTGATAACAGATGTTGTAGACCAGTTGATAATTGGGAGATTAAAGTCCCCGGCGATTACTATGTGCTTTTCTTTGCTGTTCTCGTTTAGTGACAGAGATTTGTCAAGGTCACTAAAGACGTCTATAGGTGAGTTTGGTTGACGGTAGAAGGATTTTACAGTTTGTATCAGTAGTGGGTAGGATGTTTGCGGGGTAGAGGTCTCTGGCAGATATGAAGACGCCACTCCCGTGCTGATTCCTGTCTTTCTGAAACGTTTGGTATCCAGTGGGGAATAATTCACTGTCTTTGATGACGAGTCCAACCATGATTCTGTCCCAATTATGGTATCAGGTTTGATATAATTGGCCGCCGCCTTCAGGTATGATGATTTGTTCTTCAAACTCTGACAGTTTACAATGAGAGTTCTCATGTTGTTCTGCTTTAGGGGTAAGATGTGTCCAAGTGAAGCAGAGCTGTCTGTATGTGAGGTGGACACTGGGGACCCAGTGTTGGGGATACTCGTACTGTCTCTGTATGGTGGTATGGAGCTCACACTTGAGTTCGATATGAAGGAATTGCTCTCGGACGTTGAATGGCTTTGAGATGTTAAGTGGGCAGATCTTTTATTTAGACTGTGCTTGTTGTTTAAAACATTAGGAGTTGGCTTGAGGCTACTGAACACACTCGGTAGGAATGAGCTATTTAAAGACTTGATCGAGTTGTCTATTGCCAGAACACTGTAGGTGTTTGATACTTCAAGTTCATACGAGTTGAAAGTAAATGAATCTACATTTACACGATCACATCGAAAGCAGACCCATGCAACACTGGACTTTCCAAGATTTGCATACTTTGATGAGGAGACTTCCATGCAGTCTGCATGGTACCACAGCTCACAACCATCACAGCATACAGCTTTGTGGTTCCAGTTAACTGGGTGTTCACATTGACCACAAGGATAAACAGATGATTGTCTAGGTCCTGGGTTAGTCTGGATGTCACCTGACAGCAATAGTATGTTTAAAATGTAGCACGACCGCGATCATATTTGCTGAGACGTGTGGGGATGATGTACAAGTTAAGATCTGGTGTTTCTGGATGTTAATTTGCATAAACCTAGTACAGTTGTGTTAGTACACAGGTCTTGATGTAGGTTACTCACTTTACACGTTAGTATTAGTTCTGCTTTATTTTGGATAAATTCATGAGAGCTCGGATCCATCCATTGGCGACAAAGGATCATCGATGGAATAATGATAAAGAGAATAACAAATTCACTGGGCGCCATGTTGTTTACGGCAATTCTGAGTAATGTCAGAGTGACAACACTTACTGTATTGGACCAGCGTCCAGCTGATGATATTACCTCACCTAGCTTTCAGCAGTCTACTGTTCAGTTGTTGTTGTTGTCATCCTTCCGTAACTCCCAACTGGAGAGTTCCAATATGGCGGGAATGTTGATTCCACGAAGATAATTTGATAAAAAAGTTGGTATTTGCGGCGATCGAGATCCTGAATCTGTTATTGCACGATTTAACAAGTTATAAACCATTGTAAGTACTTTAAGCGCAGAGGCACATCTTTAGATGGTACATAAATTAGAAATTTTGGTCATAATTTTCCTCCTAGAATCGAAACGACCTGGTCCTGCGCGCATGCGCACTCCTCCCTCATCAGGAAATGGCGGCCATTTTGTTTAATCAAAAAACATAATCACAAACCAAACACCGTAGTTGTATTCGTAGTGCCATACTACACCCATGCACCAAATTTCATCCAAATGGGACAGTATTTAAATTTTGACCAATCGGAGGAAAAAAACGGCGGCCATTTTGTTGAAATGTGAAATCTAACTTACGGAAATGATCATTGTCTCATGATTGACCTACATACCAAATTTGATCGAAATCCGACAATATTTAAATTTCAACCATTCAGAGGTCAGGAAATCGCGGCCATTTTGTTTAATCACAAAATAAACACTGCAATTATTTTGGTAGTACCATACTACACATATGCACCAAATTTCATCAAAATCGGACAATGTCTAAATTTCGACCAATCAGAGGCCGGCGTCCGGCTGACCAGTGAGATGGCCGATCGAAAATCGAAAATACACTTGCGCACCGCATCGCCTGTCATACACGAACACTCATGTAAAGTTTCGTTGAATTCCGCCCTACGGTTTTCGAGAAAGTGGAGGAAATAAAATAATAAAAAGAAGAAGAAGAAGAAGAAGAAGAAGAAGAAGAAGAAGAAACGGAGCAAAAACAATATGTTCCCAAACTTTATTTGCGGGACTTAATTATAAACATGTTTGTTTACTACTCAGCTTTGAATGAGTGAAGCTAAAAACAGGTCATCATCACGAAACAATAGAAATAAAACTACAATGTAGAAAATGTTTGTCATCTCCAAAGATAGCCATTTCTGCATACATACACATCACAGTGGGAGTGCTGTGACACCGGGTTGATAATCAAATGAAAACTAAGTATCACGTGAAAAATGTTTGCAGACTTTGCTGGTCTAGATCACGTTGTCTTATAGACGCTAGAGCAGACAGAAAAAATGCAATTACATTTGGTAGAATAGATACAATCAACTTCGATCATATATCATTTTCTAATATTTTCTCGACCATTTATATATTTTACCATAATACACGAACATGTATATATTGATGTTATTTTTTTTATTCACCCGTTGGTTTTTTGGTGTTTATTTTGTGTGTATTTATTGGGAGATGTATCGCATAACTACGTCCTTGTATGATATTGAGTTTTTTCGTTCATTTAAACATTTTTATATTATCTAAATTATCTATGTTCGCCTCAATTTTATTGATATTTTCTCATTAATAACAAGATTAAGATATCAAGTAATTTAATCGAAAGATGTTATTTTGCTAATAATAGAGATATGATTTTAAGAAAACCACTTTTTGTTTCTCTATGTAGTTTTGGTGCTGTTGCTATTCAGGACGTCCACGACGACTAATACCGAGGAGGTCTGCCCCAGCCTGCCTACGGCTACTACACTCGGCGTGTTTTGCTGTGGTTCATTCACTTCGCAAGCTACTTGCCAGGCAGTGCCACAGAACACACAATGCACGTGGGATACAGGCACATGCAAATACGAATGTACAACTTTCTCAGACGCAGCTACATGTACGGGAGTCGGTTGTACCTGGACGCCTCTTGGAACGACAGGAATTTGCTCATAAGAACACAATAAATCATACTTTGATGGCGGCTAATCAAGAAGTATATATATCTTTTTCAATGCATGAAGCCTTCCGAAACATAAAAAAGTACGTGAAATCGAATATTTCTTTTTTAGGTCTAAATTTTTGTTAAATTTACTTGTATTTCAAGTTGATGAACATAAAAAAACAAACAAATGATATTTCCACAACGATCCATGGATGATTTGATTATACCTGGTGATAAATACAAAGACCATATAACAGTTTAAGAGTAGCACTGTATCCCTATTTCTACGACGGGAAATTAATGAAATTTTACAACTCAAAAACTAAAAAGTATGTCATTATCACTAGAAATATCACTGCCACAGAGAGATCAACCTCGAAATGCCAGTGGTTGAGGTCACTTACGTTATCCGCCCCTGCAATCTGGCATGACAAAATGGAAGGCTCTGTACCTTGTGGACGAGACAATAAGACTAGATGGATCCTTCGATGTACACCAACAGAATTGCGCGGTAGCGGTATAGAGCTACTTACTAGTTTAAAAGTCGGTTGTCGCTCCTTTGAAATCTTAAAAGGACAGCCTAGCGATTATACAAGTTATCTTTACCTGAAATCACTGAAATAGCTTACCGTGTGGTTTCAATTTTTTCATAAAAAGCTAGTATTCCAAGAGTGCAAAGAACGTAAGTTAGCCAAACTCTTGGAATTTCAGAGGATGCGGGAGATGTGATGTTATGCATGATATTAAACACATACGTATAAACATTATAATATCGTCTGATATTAATTTTACAGCTAGTTTTACAATCATCTGCAAATTCCAATGGACCCGCTTTCGGTATCACATATAGTTTATTCTTTGCATCTTTTGAATTTCTCATGGCAGAATCAAATTCCCTGCCGCGTGGATGATACTGGTTCTGTTACCGAATCCTGCTTACCTCCAAATAATGCTCTAATAAAAGATAAATATGAATCACACGACAGCAAAACAGTGAATCGTACCAGCTTTGATCTCAGAATAGTTCATTGATTATCTTCAGATTATTCAGAGCCAATGAAATAGCTGAAATAGGTCCGTTTCAGGGTGATTTTGGGGAAAAATTACTATGTTATCAAACTCTTCTGATTTCAACTCATCAATGTCCCACGTATGATAGAAAAAAAAGTCCTGAAAGATTCCCTTTGGGGAAAAAAATTGAGGCCATTTTTAAATTTGGCCTATTTTTCAACTCTTTCGCCAAAAACGTTTGGCTGTTGAGCTGGCATTCTCACTATCTGTGCTGTTAGTCCTTCTCATGTCACCCTCGGGTTCCCTAGTATATAATTAGTTCTGCATCGTTTGAAGTTATGCACAAACACATTTCCGATAGGTGAAGACTGACTTTTAAGTAAATATTCATGCAAATCATTGTCCCCTTGCAGACTACTGACACGAATAAGAGTATCAAGTCCTTTCTTGTAAACCTTTTGTTTGTCATCCCCAAAGCATCACGGCAAATCACACAACATCCCTCATGCAGACCACCAGGCACATGAGGGAAATCACAATCTTGGACGTGCTGACCAATCATTATTGTATAGCAAGTCCTGAAAAGACAGAAATGAAGGCATCAGTATATGACAAAGACGAAAGATTTATATTAGAGACCCTTTTTTTTTTTGAAAAGTGCGTACAGGGCTTAGGAGCTACTCTGGAGAAAGTATTATTTCACCATCCTGTTCATGGGGATTGCATGCTTGCTGCTACTAACTGTATCCTCTGTAAGTTTATTATTATAATTTTTTACATACTTACTAATAAATACGGGTTTTTTTGTGAATGCGATACGACACAATTGCTCTAACCCATATCAGCCATCGCCGTATCACACCCAAAAAACCGTATCAGCCCCCGCCGTATCACACCCCAAAACCTGTATCAGCCCGCAAAACCCGTATCACACCCCTTTTGGATTTTTTTCCTTTTTCAATATTTTTAAAGAAAAATAGATCATAAATATAAGTTTTTATTAGTAAGTATGTAATAACCAGAATAAAACACGTCTTTTTCTATATCACACCCAGTATCAACCCTCGTCCAATATCAGCCGTCGGGCCTTCGGCCCTTGGGCTGATATTACAGTCTCGGCTTTATAGGCTTAATGGGTGTGATATGAAAAAAGGCATGTATTATTCTCTATATATTGTATAATTACAATATATTATATTATCATAATATACCTGCACCAGGCCAAAGTGGGCTCGTACCATGTTGGGTTTTTTTTTGGTTTTATCCGGATATTGTCAGCCATCTTGGATTTTGAAATATGATGCTAATACCAGATCCAATTAATTTTGTCAAAGTAGGATATAGAGTTATGTGTAATAAATTAACATATTTACAGCACTCTTATATCAAAGAAAATATCAAAAATCTGAATATTCTTTCATCTAACCGATATATTCTCCTTCTTCATTTTTGGCGAGAAAAGGAGAAAAATAAGCCAAATTTAATAATGGTCTCAATTTGTTTCCCTAAAGGGAATCTTTCAGTACTTTTTTTCTATCATACAAGAGACATTGATGATTGAAATTAGAAGAGTTTGATAACATAGTAATTTTGTCCCCATGTTCGACCTATTCCACCGACCTAAACGGCCCTACTGTAAAAACGGCTCCATTTGAAACGGCCCTACTTTTTAAATCGCGATATACAATTTGATTGGATTTTAAATTAAGTTAGCATTCAATTTATTTCCAATAAGATAATTGTTATTTGTGTTTAGTGACGTATATCTATATGACCATAATAATTATAATATAAGTAAAACGGGACGTATATATATATGAACATTGATTTTGTTGAACATTAGTGTATATTTCAATAAATAGATAAGTATAACGGGACGTATATATATATATATGACCATTATAATTATAAGATAAGTATAACGGGACGAATAAAGATATAAACATTGATGCATATTTCAATAAATAGATAAGTATAACGGAACGTATATATATATGAACATATCAATTATTAAGTATAAAGAAATACCACAAAAAAATACAATCAACGTAATGATTAATTTGACGATTACTAAATTAAAAAAAAAAACAATTATACAACAGTAAGATAATGTCTTCTTATTATTTATATAAAATCATTCTATCTTACCATGCACGGTAATGTATCAATTGGGTATTTATGTGACACTTACCGGTACCACACGTTCTATGCTGCCATCTATTACAGTCATCGCACTGCAGTGCTAACTGCATGCTGTGCAGGTCGGATCACACTGTCGCACTCTAAACATTTCGTCGATGCTGGTCTCAAGGTTGAAAGTATCATTCAAATTCAAATGATATGTGAAGATTTTGCTATTCATTCGTCCAATTTATCACACCCTCTGACCAATCCCGTTAATTGTTGTTTTAATTGAGTCACTCCGGGTTACTCCGAGGTACAGTGTACTCTGTTAAAACATCAAATACCCTCCTCCCATATCTAAATTATTATTAGTTAATATTGTACCTATTTTTTCGAATGCTATTCAATAAGTTTTTTAATTAATTCTTTTCTCTAAATAATTAAATCAAATTAAACACTGAAGTAGAAAACACTATTGCAAAGGTATTTGAAACTGAGGAGCTTGAGGGTTAACTATCAATGAAAACACAAACACAATTATAATGTTTTTATCTGTATGTGTACATACTTTATTATTTCTTAATAATAATAATATTTATTCAGTTAAAATATAGGCATATTACAATACATAAATATCACAGAGTAGAGTACAGTACAACATTAATTTTTGCGACAGTACTTTTACTTTAAATAACAACATTGAGCACTAGTTAATATATGAGATCAATAGATTATATTTTTTACCGAAATTGCAGCCTTTTAACTAGGATAACCCAAAAAGCTAAAAGCTTATTTCCATTGGGGTCCTTTAAAAGAAACTTAAGTGCAATTTTAAAATTGAGTATTGTTGTTATACATTATTTGATACATTTGTGGACATCATTCATAAAATAAACTGCTATTCCATTAAAGCATGATTGTCAGTTTAAAAGTACACATAATACTTTTTTCTATTTTAATGTGAAACATGCAGTAAAATATTTAATGATCTAAAACATAGAATTATATTAAAAGTACACTTATTTACTTTCTTGTTTTCCTTTCATAAGTTTCTGTAAATGACTCTTCACCTTGTATTTAAAAGTGAACTTATTATCATCACTTTTGATGTTTTCAGGAAGTGAATTCCAATCTTTGGTTCAGAACTTTTTACATTAGGAACACCAAAATTACATAGATTTGAGCGAGTACTATACGGACAACGATTCCTGTTAAAAAATTGATACATATATTGAGAAGCTTTTCCATGGAAGATATTGAGCATATGGTTCAGTCTAAGTTGTCTTGCCCTTGTATTGATATCAAGCATGTTTACACAACTAAAACCTTGGTATGACAAACTGTGTCTATTATGTACATTTAATATAAATCTTGTCACCTTGTTTTGTGCCACTTGTAATTTCTTTTTAGTTTTTTTGACAGTCCTTCATACCAACTAGCACTTGCATAGTCAAAGTGGCATAGAATAAGCGCAGAGCACAAGGTCTTCCTGGATTCAAAAGACAAACAGCTACTATTCCTATACAGAAATTTTATTCTCTGATTCACACAATCCACACCCGTGGATTCATATAAAACGTTCAAAAGACATTTCCTAGGAATTATTTAACATAGATCTAAATGTGATTTTTTTTAACAAATTGCCTAATGCACGAGTTGTTTGTTCGCCAACTTATCAATATTGACGAGCAATTCACATTGATGCTTAGTCTGCTAAAACTGACCATAATCGCAGGCTCAAAAATTCTGATCGGTCGCCTGTTTATGGTCAGCTATAAACACAGGGATTGTCGTCGAAATCTGACGACAGCGACTGTGAGCGTTTTACATGTTTGTTAGAGAAAATATTTCACTTGATTCATTTCTCACTCACTTGACTAGATGTCATGTCCGTACTCGATACATTATGAACGCTACATCGTTTTAATCAATTGAAGTGCTTTCGACTGCTCACATTGACAGCCATCTTGCGCACATCAATATGTATTGGCCAATCATAATTGCTTACGGCAATTCGACTTTTTGACAACAAAAACACGTGTACCAGTTTTCCTTTTCCTCGCGATCGAGTTGTTTTCGTAAATATATATTTGAGAAGTGCTAGAAATATCAAAGTTAATTTGATATTACTAAGTAATGGGATAACAATATATAAATCCAACGTGCTAGCTTAGTTTATGTCTGCTAAACGATCACTGCCTAACCGATGTTTACGTTTGATCAAATTAACCGAGAGTAAATTTGATTGGCCAGTGCGCCCTATATTGTTGAAGGCAAGATGGCTCTCGATGTGAGCAGTCTTATAAATCATATGATTTATTAGTGTTAGGGGGTGCGATATATAGAGGGGTGCGATGATATATCACATATATTCCAGAACCCAAGCACCTGTGGTCGAAAGCACCTCAATATCTATTGAATAGACGTTTTGACTGTTCACGCCGCCACCTTGGGTCAGAGGTCAAGTGGTTAAACTTTGTAAACAATATGGCGGTGCTATCACTCGTGGCGATTTAGCGCTGTTGAATCATGACAGTTTAAGGACGTATTTGCCTATAACAATGTTCATCATTATGGGGAACAGATGCAAACAACTAACCTACCTACTATTCCATCTAAAGACGGTCATTCT